CGATTAAGTTATTGAAAACAACTAATACGATTTACACAATATTGTCATGGATTTAATGTGTATGTTTTCAAATATTACTGTTTGTTATAAAAGATCATTGTTTATTATAAAAGATGATTGTTTATTTAAACTGTTTATTATTGAAACTATTTGTTATAATTAATTTATAATTTTTTATTATAGTATAGTATACTTATGGGGAAAGTTAAATTTTCCTCTAGGATGCATACCATGTAATTCGCTATAGGGGTACGACCAATGTGCTCGCATATAACGACATCATCTTGCCCTATCTCAAAAGGGCAAGGTTGGAGTCGATTAGGCACTTCTTAGGGATAAAGATCGATCGTCAACTCATCACCGCATTGGTGGAAAGATAGCGAAAGGAGACACATTGCTTCAATTTTCGGGAAGGAGAGTGCACCATCGCACTAAAGGATGTCGCCATCCATACCCATCTGCCCATCGAAGGCAATGCGGTACGTGTGAGCGATCGTGCACCACCGGATGTTGGCGGGATGACCGGTTGGCAGCATTTGATCCACAGCGTTTTGGGCCTCCGAGTGCCAGTCAAGGGAAGCGTTGATGCGAAGAATCGCAACGCACCATTGAGGAAGCGACAAGTATCAATAACTTGGTTGACTAGGGAGATCAGGAACCGACACGACCCATCAAAAGGTGGGATCACCTTAACCGAGGAAAGTTCAGAGGTGGAGAAGGAAAGATATGCTCGTGTCTATCTCATAGGCATGATCGGAGAAGTATTCTTCCCCAAGAAATCCAACAATTTAATTAGTTGTGGGTGGCTGAGGATCCTCCTTGGTGATTGGGATGCGATGGGGAATTTGAGCCGAGAATCCGCTTGTCTAGCTCATATCTACCACCATTTGTATAATGCATCTCTCAGAGCCGTGAAGGAGATTGGCTGAGGATCTTCATATACTCCACCTCCACCATGGTAACCAGATGTTTGGCCATCTCCAGAATGACCTTCCCCGCCTTCGAACGCCTCGGTGTAAACGAACATCTCTGCTTTGGAAAGATTATTGGCGTTCAAAAATTCAACCATGACATCTACTTCCGCCTAAATGGTTATGAGGAATTCCTCATGCAACAATGACCCGCCATGTCTGTATGGATCAACTCTCCTCGTGTCATCCATGCAAGTAACATCAGTACACATTTGATGGAGCTCTTCAAGGTTCGGTCTCATAGCGACCTTCACTTTATGAAAATTACCATCGACGTAACTTACCCCATTTTTGGTCTCTTCCGTGTAACCATTCCACCGTAACCCAATTTTGAACTTTCGGAATGCCATCTCCAATAAAATCGTAATTTAGTTAATACCATAAAAATCACAAATCAAAACAAAAAGTTATACATAATAAACTTACGATGTAAGCTTAATCGCAAAAAACTCTAAATGCAGTAGTCTGCACAACAGTTAATTGAAGAAGAATAAGGAGAGGGGTGAAGAGTTGAGGTTTTCGGGGCTGCCTTTTATAGGCAAAATCATAATTGAAACCGCAGGGGGAGGGAACGGTTTTCATCTGCCATACAGGTCCACGTTTGTGAACCCATGCATGGTGACATGTCAGGTGTTGGAGAATATTTCAATGTATACAGAAACGGGGATTTTTCCAGAAATAGCACTGTTTAAAAAAAAAATTCCTAAAATAGCACCTAAGTCCGAAAAATTCCAAAAATAGCACCCTTTTCCAAAAACAGCTCCCTACCAGTGCGGTTTAGGCGAAAACCGCCATCCAGGGGGCGCGTTTTTCGATGAAAACCGCACCCCCAGGGGGCGGTTTTGCAGACCGCACCCCCACCATGCGATTTGGTTGGGGGTGCGATATGCTTTTTTTTTTTTTTTTTGAAAAATCCTAACCTAGGTGGAAACTTCAAACGGACGTATCTTTGTGTTCGAGTATCCAATCGTCGCAAAAATTTTTTTGATTCCGCATAACTTTTTGAGATCTTGCAAGCCAAAGGTGGTTTGGTCCCACCTTCATCCCAAAAAATGTCGTTTGCTACCCCGAACGAGCTTTTTTCCGATTTCGTCAAACTTTGGACAACCATAACTTTGTGCTCCAAAATCCAAACAACATGAATTTTTTTTTTATTTCGCATAACTTTTTAAGGACTACAACTTTTATCATAGACACAATTTCAAAATATACGTGGATTGCTGAGAAGGGAAGGTAAGCTATTCCCAAAATCCTGTATATCCAAAAATAATTCCTGTTTTGAAAATTCATTCTTGTAAAAATTGTAGTCCTTAAAAAGTTATGCTAAATAAAAAAAAATTCATGTTGTTTGGATTTTGGAGCACAAAGTTATGGTTGTCCAAAGTTTGACGAAATCGGAAAAAAGCTCGTTCGGGGTAGCAAACGACATTTTTTAGGACGAAGGCAGTATCAAACCACCTTCGGCTTGCAAGATCTCAAAAAGTTATGCGGAATCAAAAAAAAATTCGCGACGATCGGATACCCGAACACAAAGATACGTCCGTTTGAAGTTTCCACCTAGGTTAGGATTTTTCAAAAAAAAAAAAAAAAGCAAATCGCACCCTGGGGGTGCGATCTGCAACCAAATCGCATGGTCGGGGTGCGGTTTTCATCGAAAAACGCGCCCCTGGGTGGTGGTTTTCGCTTAAACCGCACTGGTAGGGAGCGGTTTTTCAGAAAGGGTGCTATTTTTGGAATTTTTCGGAGTTGGGTGCTATTTTTGGAATTTTTTTTTTAAAAGTGCTATTTCTGGAAAAATCCCACAGAAACGCAGGTGGAGGGGGCGGTTCCAGATGAGCAGCTAAAACCACTCCCATAACCTACGGTTTCTGTTAGGTTAGCTGCAAAACCGCTTGTTGAGGAAGCAGTTTCCTCACGAAAATAAAACCGCCACCTCATAAAGCGGTTTGTGGTAGAACCGCCCCTCCCAATGATGGTTTATGGCGAAGTGTGCTATTTTTGGAATTTGTCTTGTTTGGATTTAGGTAACCAATTCGTGAAGCGAGAGCGGGAGCGTGAGAGCGTCAAATTTAGAAAAATTCAATATTTAGAGCGTGAAGAGAGCGTCATTATTATATTATTATTATTATAATTATACCTTAAATTTGTTAACACAAAAACATAAAAAGTGAAAATTCGGACAAACAAACTTCAATCCCAAAACTTAAAACTAAACAACCTAGCCCCAATTCTTATCCTAGTCCGTACGCAACAAGCCCATTCCTAAGCCCTAACCAAGTGGGCCATTTTGAAATCTCCACCTACTAACCCTACGTCCCCAATAGAAACCCACTCTTAAGATAGCTGGGGAGCAGTGAATCTGCTTCCTCTTCTCTCTCAATCTCATATACCCAGAATCCTCCCCAAAATAGAGAGCCCTCCAACCAAGGTTGTCAACCCGCGGGTCGACCCTCTTTGAACCTGACCCGGTGAGAAAAACGGGCCATACGCACCCGTCGGGTCGACCGCTACAAGGTACTGTCATTTTTTTCTTTGGTTTGCGAAATGTGCCTATTTTCCGATTTTTCTTTTCGCCTAACTCAATCTTTGGAATCCTAAGTTGAACATTTGAATATTTATGTTATATAAGTGTGTGTGAATTTTCACTATATGTTGGATCTAAGTACGATATGTTATTTTGGTGTAATATTATATGTTATAAGTCATATGCTAGATAAGATTTTATATAATTTATGAGGATAAGTACAATATAATGACTTTTTCTATATTTCCGGACCAAGCCGGGCTAAAACGGTTGACCCATTAACCCTTGACCCACTAGCTCGACTGGGTCCGGGTCAACCCGCGGGTTTGACAACCTTGCCTCCAGCCATTATCCTACTAATCCCCCCTTCCCCTAGACACTCCACCTTCCCCCCCGTCTCCACCAAGCCCTCCACCACCTGCGCCACCAGAGCCACCAAAGAATCCAACGACTACATCCTTAACATCGCGGAGATTGAACCTAAATTTTGAATCCTCAGACAGAGTGTCGTCGGGAGGAGGGAAATCAAACGTCTTCAGCCCTTTCTCCCCGGTACAGATTACAGATCCGCCGGTACCGAGGATCTCTCAACACTTGCTACGTTTTAGAGATCTGCTTGAATTTCACCTCCGTCTCTTTCTTTTTCTCCAGATTCTTGTCTCAATCTGTGTTCCACGAGAGATCGCGATCCCAAATTCTGAAAGCGCGCTCTCTCTCAAAAAGCAGTTCGCGAATTTTTCACGAACTCCCCAAAAATCGCGTTTTAGCGATCTAGAGCGGGATCTTGGAGGGTGAATAGCATAGACCAGGAAACCGGATCGTACCGGCCGGTTCAACCGGAGATTGGACCAAAAGCGGTACGGTAGGCTGATTGTGCTGATTTTACCGTGCCGGCCGGTTTTTTCGGTTTGACCGGTTGAACCGGCCGGTATGATCCGGTTTCCTGGTCTATGATTCAGCTTCATTTCTCCGTATTCTCGTCCAATATGTGGAAAATAATTAAAAAGAATATTATTTTGCTATTTTTCTATGTTGAAAATGGGTCACCGTGGTTGTATAATGCTCTATTTGGTTCTTTTTTTAATGGATTATATTTTTTATACAATCGCATTTCATTTCTCTATCAATAGTGAAAAACGGTATTTACCGGGACAAAACGGTTGAACCACGGTCGTACCACAAAATACCATACCAGAAAGGAATCCGATATGATGTCCGGTACGGTTTCCTTTACCACGGTGAATAGGCGAATTAGGTTACATAAGTTTGGATGCTATTTTTGTAAAAAAAATTTAAACAGTTCTGGATTTTTTTCCGGAAAACAACCCCAAAGGCCAAAAGTCCAATTCCGTCCTGCCCGCCGTAGACTGCGAGTGGGAATAAAGCTTAATCTCGTCGTTCACCGTCGCCGGCCTGGCCCTAGTCCTACTCACTGTAGTGTACTCAAGCTTTGAAGATCTGGAACTCGACTGAAGCTTAAACGTAGGTCAACACTATTCGATATCATGGGGCTTGTCAGCATCATAAGAAAGATGAAGAGGAAGGAGAAGGAAATGCGTATTCTCATGGTGTCCGTACCTCGCTCGTTCACCCCCTTTTCCACTTCTCCATTTCTAATTTAGTCCCCCATCCATGGCAGCTCGAAATCTAATCGGGATTCTCCCGTCGTCTCCATTCATTTTTTTTCTTTCGCGGTGCGTGCAGCGGCCTGGACAACTCCGGGAAGACGACGATTGTTTTGAAAATTAATGGAGAAGACACCAGCGTCATCAGTCCAACACTCGGCTTCAACATCAAGACCATCACTTACCACAAGTAAGAAATAATCCCCCCTAAACCCTAATTTCAATTCCCACCATGTTTTCTGATTGCGGTCTAAGGGGAACTGCCATTGTTATATGTCTGCAAGGTATCTGTTGAATATATGGGACGTTGGTGGGCAAAAGACGATAAGATCGTACTGGAGGAACTACTTTGAGCAAACTGATGGCCTGGTTTGGGTTGTGGATAGTTCAGATCTTAGAAGGCTAGGTGATTGCAAAATGGAACTCGATAACCTCTTGAAGGAAGAGGTGTCAATCTTGTTTCTCTTGGCCCATTTTTGCTGTTGCCTAATTTCAGTTTCTAGCCTTTGGTAGTCATAGCTGTTTGCTGTTTCTGATTTTGGCAGAGGCTATCTGGAGCGTCTTTGCTGATACTTGCTAATAAGCAAGACATCAATGGGGCTCTTACACCGGACGAGATTGCCAAAGTACTACGAAAGCTTATTTTGATAGTGGAGCTATAATGATCACAATGCATTTTGACATAGGAGGATTTCTGTGTTCTTTTTACTTTCTGGGTTTACTAACTCTGGTGTGATGCTTTTGTAGGTACTGAACTTGGATAACATGGATAGAACCAGACATTGGAAGATCGTCGGTTGTTGCGCTTATACGGGTGACGGGCTGCTCGAGGGGTTCGACTGGCTAGTTCAAGACATCGTCTCTAGAATCTACGTGCTTGACTAAATCGTAAGCTGTTACCTAGGACCATTTGTTGTTGGTTTCCTTTCGTATTTGTAATGAGTTTGTATCTTGGAATCGAGGGTCAGCTCCAAACTTGTGCTGCTTAGATGCTAAAATGAGGTAAAACTGTGTTTCATTCACATTCCAGAATCTTACATTTCACAGAGTTACACATGTGCAGCCAATTTCAATGGATTTCATCACAGAATCCAGAACAAGCTGAGTCTTCCTGCAAATCTCAGCCCACTTAACATCAGGCGGCGACCCCGCCTTAATCCCCTGAACAAGCCTGGCAAATTCCTCAACCATCAAAACCTCCTGTGAAACTTCATTCACAACTTCAACCTTCTCGGGCTTCACGTTCCAACCCAGATCCCGTTCCACGAACTTAGCCATCCAAGTGAAGTTGAACTCAGCGGATTGCTCCTTGTACGGGAGTATGAAGTCCCCTAAATACAGAGACCCATTGACGCCAACAATCTCCAATTCCATGGTGAGATGAGAGAGGAAAGAGCAGTGGATGATCCCGACCGTGTTGTCTTGTTCGTAGTGCAGCTGTGCAGAACAGGAGAGAATGACTCCGGTAGAGCTTTTGGTGATGTCGGGTAAAGCGGTGACTGAACTGGGGAGGTGGAAGTCTTTCGCCCACAATACCGCTCCTATTCCGTACCAGCCCAGTTCCCCAACCGCCCCCATGGTTTCCATTGCTGGCTTCCCGGCGGGGACTGCGGTCTCGAAGAATTGACGCGGGATGAAAGCTGTTGATGTTGTATGAATCTGCAATGCAGAGCCAGAGAGGAAATTGGCGGAATCAATAACCACACCAATGTTCAACTCCATGCGGTACTCTCGATTTTGTGAATATGTTTTCAAACATGGGGAACGAAATAAGTGAAGCATATCTTACTAGTCCAATGTTTCCGACGAGTTTAGGATCGGAGATGAGCTCCTTCATCTTGCCCGTCCGTGGGTGGTGGAGCCACATGGTGGCGTCCATGAACTGAACTCCGTTCCTTTCGCAAGCTTCCAAAACCTTATCCAATTCCCCCAAATCAACGGCGCCGGGCTTCTCCATCAGCAAATGCTTCTTCTTCTCCGCTACCGCCACTCCCCACCGCGAGTGCTGCCCCACCGGCACCGGCACGAAGACTGCGTCCACGTCCGGATCGTCGACAACTTCTTCATGGCTGCTGCAAATCCTGACCGTCTCCGGCAGCTCGTTTGCGACGGCGAACTGCTTGGCTTCTTCAGGGGAGGCACTGGAAATTGCGTGAAGGGTGGTGGCAGGGGATAAGAGTATGGCTCTGGTTACTTTCTTCGCTAGCCTGGAGCATCCGATGATCCCGAATCGAACCGGACAATTTTCTGCTGCCATTTCTCCCCTTCCTTTTCTTAATATTCGTTTTCTTCTGTATGTCTTTCGATTTCTGGATTGTGGGTTGTTGAATGAGGGAGATGTTGCTAAAAGCCGGAGAAACAGACAGAGACCGAGAGAAGAACGAAGTGGTGATGAGTTGGTTGTTTTTGGACCCCAAATGGGGTGAGTTTTGATAAGGTTAGAAAAATAATGGTATGGATTGGTATAATTTGGTAAATTGTAGAGTCATTTATAATGAGTCAATTCGAATTATCTATTTTATTTCAGACATTTGAAATTTACTTCAGTGTTATTAAAATCGAGCTGAACTAGTCGGTCGGATCAAGACCCAGCCACCAGTTCGCTTCGGAACACCTAATAAAAACATGTAAGTGAACTGACTGGCCGATTAGTGGTTCAAGCAGTTAACCGCTTGACCTAGCCAACCGGCTTTCAGAAGTTCAAAGTTCGCAGTCAGACGATCGGCGGTAGGGATGACAATTGGGCCGGGTTTGCCTAAACCATCCTCATTCTCCTTTTTAGATATCCAAACCTATACCCGTCCCATACCCATGCGGGAGAAGTTTTGCAAACCCATTCCCGTACCCGTGAGATTCGGATAACCATGGGTAATACACGTTCCCATACATCTAACATTATTATACCTAAAACTTAACATATAATTTTCAATTCTAACATTAACGGGCCTACTATATCATGAAGTCAACAAAGATAAAATCATTCTTAATACAGTTCAAATTATATGACCCTAAAACATCAGTTAATCCACAAGATATAGTATAATATTTTTCAAATCATTATTCTCTACCTCTAATACATCTGCTAAGTAATAATTAACTAAAAAAATCATCTTGTTAACAAGAGGGAAAACTGAAAAGTGAAAGAATGAAGGGAGAATTGAAGGAAAAGAATTAGGATTTGATTTGGATGACCACTCAATTGCCATTCTACTATTTATTTTATTGAGTTACCTTCATTATCATTGATAGGTTACAATTTGGTCCATGTAATTTTTAGGGCGTTAATACTTATTGCCCTAAGTATTCAAATTTAACGCCCTAAACCCTACCAAAATTACAATCTTACCCTTACCCATCCCATCAATCCAATATGCTCCTCCTTTCTCCAATTTACCCTCCTACCATCACCAACAAGGAAGAACGGTGATAGACAAATGTAGAAGGGGGGAAGGATTCGTTGGCGGCAGATCCAGAGAAGCTGGTCGGTTGATTTGGAGAGGTCGACTACTTGACCCTAAGGAGGATGACGGATGAAAGAGCAGTTGCCGGAATCAGGGTCGTCGGACGTGCTCCTTACCTTCTTCTCCCGAGTCTAGACGCGTGACATCAATGCCCCCGCCCCCCCCCCCCCCCCCCCCCCCCCCACTCAGGACGCCATCCCCACCCGCTCGATTCGGCAACAGCGCGGGTTAAAAACTCGTAACCGGTGCGCTAGCCATAAGTCAAAACCACGTACCTAGCTAGCCCACCGACGACGCGTTTTCAACCCGCCCCATTACCGTTAACGAGAAAAAGAGTCTTGCCTAGGAAAGAAGCAGAGGGCAGAGTCGAGTGGCGGTGGTCGACTTGGCTGGCCAGACGAAGGGATTGGTTGGCGACGCCGATCGTTGGGTAGGTCAAAGTTTCTTTTTTTAAATTGGGGGAAAAATGGTCCTTCAAGTATAATTTAGGGCAAATTATTTGAAAACTTAGGGCGTTAAATAGAAGTTCATAATTTATTTAGGGTAAATTGCATGTTTAGTTCTTGGGATTAGTAAAAATTTCACATTTGGTCACTAAAAAAGTTTTATTCATTTGTTGTCATTAAGATTAGTTAAGCACTCCACGCTTGGTCACTATATGTTAATCTTTGTCAGCCTCCGTTAACGCCGTCAGTTTTTTTTGCTGATGTGGCGAAAAGAATTGTCTAATCAGCCAATTTTAACCCGAAAAAGTGTACAACCGACCTGCAACGTGACAATCTCTAACCCAACCCACTCAAATTGAGCATACAATAATTCTAAAAACACTGAAAGTCTCCTTCTCCTGGTCGCTCAACTCCCACCACCTCCTCCGCCGCACTCGACAATCCTTCCTCCACTGCCACGAGGAAGGAAGGAAGAGCAGAGGGAACTAGCAAGCGGGAACTAGCAAGCGAGGAAGGAAGAGCAGAGGGAACTAGCAAGCGACCGATCCCGATTCTTCCCTCATCGTCGATCTCCGATGGTGACTTCAACTATAATTTTTTTCAAGTCAGGTAGAATAGTGGAAGAAGAATCCATAAGAAGGCTCGTCGTCTGCGGGCAGCACGTTGGCTTACACTCTGCCCTCACCCTCTCCCTCCAAATCGCTGCCTTCTCTTTGGAAGTGGAAGGGATGCAATGGAGGCGGATTCAATAGAATAGGTTGAATGCAGTGGCCGGCAACGATTTAGATCCGCCGGTGGGAAAGTTTTGTTCTTTTCAAAACCAGAGGGTGGGTTCGAGTCGACACGATGACTGTTGAGGGGAAAGAGGTTGAATATGTCGGATCTCAAAATAGCTAACCAGAAGTAGAGCAAAGCGGCGGTCTTATGAGAACAATAACATCTTCCATTGTCGACTTGACGAAATCAGTATACCGGATCTCAAGAAACTCGTGGAAGTTCACTAGAGCGATGCCTTTATCTCCAGCTGCTTCGTCGCCTTTTGTTCCAATTTTGACGCTGACGGCTTCGGATAGCATAACAACACCATAAGTGTTGTTAGTATAACAACAGGGGTATAAGGGTCAATTGCACACATATTAATTAATAAGTTATTTTCTTTTACCTGGTATTAAATTTGAAATTCGAAATTAATGATAAAAATTCATTGAAGCGCGCAATTTGCCATTTCCGTTTTCCCCTTCCCCTCTGCTCACGAACTGCTCTCCGACTTCTCCTTCGGTTGCTCTCTCCCTGTTCTCGCGATTCCGTTTCCTCCGTCGGCGATTCCGTCTGCGGCTTGTGGATTTCGTTCGCGCGATTTTGTTTCCTCCTTCGGCGAAGTTAATTTCGAGGTATTCCGCCGGTGATTTCCTCCGCTAAACTGTCTTCTCCTCTGTCGTCAGTTTTGGCCTTCGAAGTCGCCGTTGTCGTTGTGGCGTCGCCGGAGTTCCACTTGTATGGTGTTAGTTTGGCGTCGCCGTTGTCGTTTTCGTTAGCATTGTCGTTGCTTGCTGCTGCTATTGAATTTATAACTGTCGTTTTCAGGTTTGCTCTCTGTTACTTTCGTTTTCCACTTTTCTGCGATGTTTTGACGCATGCAGTCTAGATTTGTTGTAGGAGACGAGGAAATTTCATAATTGTGCGTTGTGGTTAGGTTTTGTGTGTTCTGATTAGGTTTTGTTGAATGTTTTAGGGTTTCTGTGGTGTGCTTTGCATGTTTTAGGGTTTCTGGTTTCTCATGAGTCGTTTGTGGTGGTGTTCAGTAGTGCTGTTGTTTTGTTCTTATTTTTGGTGGTTTGCTTTGTGTTTGGTGACGGTTAGGATGTTTGTGGGTTTGATTGGGACCTTTCTGGAGGTTTTTAATGAAACTATTGTGTATTTCCAGGCTGCTGTTGGTGGTTCTTTTAAAAGGTTATGTGGTTAGTGTTTCGGATTTCACAGTTTCGTTTAGGAGATTTACTGGTGTGCATTTGCAGTAGTTGTTTGTCTCTTTTACATCTGATTATTGAGTTGTTTGTGGTGGTGTTCAGTAGTTCTGTTGTTTTGTTGTTTATTTTGGTGGTGCGTTTTGTGTTTGGTGACATTTAGGGTGTTTGTGGGTTCGATTGGGGCCTTTCTGTATGTTTTTAATACAACTATGGTGTATTTCCAGGGTGATGTTGGTGGTTTATTTGCAGTTGTTTGTCTCCTTTAAATTTGATTAATGGATTGTTTTCATGGTTTTACAGTTTGCATTAGGCCCTTGATGGTTTGCATTTTATATGTTCTGGTATTAGATTGCTTATGTTGGTTTGTGTTTTGGTTGCTTTGTAGGCAATGGCACCTGCTAAGAAACGTGCAGTAAAAGGGAAAGAAAAGGAAAAAGTATCGACACCTAAGAAAGATGGTGTTTCTCCTGTGGCTGGAAAGCCGGATAAGAGGCATCGCAGTAATACTAATCGTATTCTTGCCATCATGGAAGCTGACAGTACAACTGAAGAAAAACTGCAGATGCTTGATCCTCTGGGTTTTAGGGGTGTGTCGAGGGTTAAGCTTACGAGACTCCCGGATAATTTTACTGAATGGATTTGCAAAAGTTTTGATGTCAGTTCAAGGTCTTTCCCGCTGCTTCGGTCAGGGAAGTTTAGAATTGGAGAGGCAGATGTGGAGAGAGTTTATGGTTTGCCGCGTGGACCGTATGCTGTTAAGCTGGATATGTTTAGTGCATCCTAGAGGCACAAGTGGGGAATTGAGTTAGGGCTTTGCAATACTAGGAAAGGAAAGGCGACATTGGCGAATGTTAAACTGGCATTGGAAGAGGAGAGGGACAATAAGAAGTGGAGGGATCTTTTTGTGCTGTATGCAATGGAGGCAGTTCTGTGCCCCAGTGGAAATTTGAAGATTGACCTCTCCTATGCTGGGTTTTTGCAAGATGAAATGGTCGATGACTTCAACCAATATAATTGGTGTAAGCATGTGGCTGACCATTTCAATGAAAGTATGGTTGAAGTGGTTCAATCAAAATCAAAGTTCCCTGGTGACGTTCATCTTCTTTTTGTAAGTAGAAAAATATACCTCTTTTCGAAGTTTGGTTTACTGTTTCATTTATGGTTTGTTTATTGACGAATGTGGTGTGGTTGAAGTTGTTTATGGTTTGTTTAATAATATTTATGGTTTGCTTTTTGCCCCCCTTTGTTATAATGTTTCTGGTATAGTTTATCATTTATGGTTTGTTTATTGACGATTGTGGTGTGGTTGAAGATGTTTGTGGTTTGTTTAAAGCTATTTATGGTTTGGGTTCCCTCCTGTTATAATGTTTCTGCAGTTTGTCATTTATTGTTTGTTTATTGACGATTGTGGTGTGGTTGAAGATGTTTGTGGTTTGTTTAAGAGTATTTATGGTTTGGTTTTGCCCCCTGTTCATTTTATGTGGTGTGTATTATAATCTTTCTGGCACGGTTTGTTTGTGGTTGCTTGACTTCTGTCTGTTTGTCTGTGGCAGATTTCGATTCTTGATCGTTTGAAGAACCCTCCT